TGTAATTTAAGTTATGGTGAAGGCTATTGTAATTATGAAAATTATTCGTTTTTCAAAATCAATTTTATAGAAAGTTTTTATATTTCCTAATAAATACAGAATTTAGGTATAAATAGTGGTCTAATTTGTATCTGACATTCATTTATTGTGTATAATAACTGTAATAATATTCTGTTGTTAAAAATGAAGTCAACAGTAATTTTGCTCCTAATTCTCACTTTTGGATCAAAACAGATATATTCTGATAAGTAATACAATTAACGGTTAATTATAATAAACATAATAATAAATAATAACATTGATTACAGTCCAAAAGTGGCGGCAATGAAAATGTTTAAGGCGCTAACAAATCCTGATGTTTACGACAAAGACATATCACCTCAATTGGGAGGTAAGTAATATTAAACCTATTGAATTGGCATTAAAGTTAAAGTTGAAACACAGAATAATACTTATTGATCATTAAATGGCTTATATCTTACCACTAGAAAATGCACCTGTAACAGTTAACGTGACCATGTACGTGATAGAGTACGAACACAATCCATTGGCCAGAGTTAGCATTAAATTATCATTTTCAATTATTTGTGTAAAAATAAGATAATTGACCACATTATGGGACATACCGTTACCCACAGGTGATGAACGCAATGGTATATTTCCGTCAGCGTTGGAATGACCGGCGATTGTCTTCGTTGAGCGCCGATGTTATCGGAAGTCAATCACTGGCCGATCGGCTTTGGATTCCCGACACCTTCTTTAGCAACGCTATTGACGTGAAGGTCATGTCTTACCCGACGGACAACGTCTTCGTTGCCATATATCCGGACGGAGGCGTCCATCACAGCCAAAGGTTGGTTTTGCACAATATTTATTCACAATTACCATAATTGTGGACAACACTTGTATCTATTTTAAAATTTGTTTATTACTTGAAAGCTGATTACGACTACAATAATGATTATGTGTTATAAATTAAAGTTTGGTTATTTTATTTGATGTGATATTTAATAGAATACAACTAACACTTCGGTGCAAAGGACCGCCCCCTCAGACCCACAAAAACACCAAAACTACAGACATTTGTCTCATTGATATTGAGTCGTGTGAGTGATATTGAGATGACATTGTATTTCATTTAAATACAATTAAACACTTGATTACATAGACGGTCATAATATGACTGACATTGAGTACGATTGGGGTAATCGGCCGAACTCTGTTGGTATTGTTGATGGATTAGACCTTGGTCATAAATTTCTTCTGGCTGGCATTAAAAGCAAGACCGATCGGATACAATTAAGCACAGGTTTGTTTAATTTACAAATTCACCAATTGCTTTTTAGTGAATGTTGTGTCATTTATATGATTATTCTCAGGAAAATATTCAAAACTTATGGCAGAGTTTGAGTTCGTGTGCAGAGACTGTTCGCCCAAGCAATCACTCGATGCAATGTTGCATGGTCATTAAATTGTAACAATTGTCATCGATGATATTTCATTGGTTTATTAATATTCAAATTAAATAATATAAAATTTACAAAAGTATTACTAATGATTATCTATAAATTTATTTGATGCGAATTCACATCTACTGTATGTTATATTTACTGAACTTGTAATTACATTAATTTACTAAATATATTGAATTAATTGTTATTTCAAACAAATATCAATATAAACTTTATAATAAAATTATTGACTTGTATAATTTATATTATTATAGTTAAATTAGTTCTGATAATATTGAACACAAATAAATCACTATCACATTTGTTTATGCAGTATCTATTACAGTAGATTAAAAATATATTTCTCAGTAATTACTTAATTGGCAAAAATATTATTAAAACCAAAATAAATATTTATATTAACTATCAATCATTTTAACCTCTATTTAATAAATCGTCACTTTAATCATTTTTAATCAAAGAACTCATTCATTATAACAAAATTTGTTCAATAAATGTATAATATTTATTGATTTTATACTCAATATTTAACTCAAATTTCTTATAATTATAATACGTTTGTATTAACAATACTCTAAATATTTAAACCATTTGTTTAACAAAGTTATCAAAAATGAAATATCAAATACTATTGTTTTGTGCTATAATTTGTATCGTAGAGTCAATGCATTTCGATGAGTATGTAATAAAAACAATTTAATTAAATATAAATTCATTTAATAAAATTATTTTAGTCCAACATCGATTGCAATGAATAACTTTAAATATATAACAAACCCTAAGCTGTACGATAAGGATCTTAGGCCTAATTTAAAGGGTAATTAATGTTATCATATTATTTAAATTATAACTTTTAATTTGTAATTTAAAACTTAATATTTTATAGACAATAATACCGTGAAAATTGGAGTAAGTTTATACATTATTGATTTTAGATATCATGAGTTGACCAAGGTTTGTGAAAATATTATAATAATGTTATGTTAATAGTAAATGAACATAATATTTATAAAATAACAGGAATTGTTTGTAAACTTTTACTTCCGCCAAACGTGGACTGACCCGCGTCTACAATACAACGACCAAATGACGAACGGGGTGAAAGTGGTGGGCGGATTGGCCATCATCAAACGCATTTGGACACCCGACACATTCTTCCCAAACTCTCATTTAGTCGAGTTATTCCGCTTTCCGGCGCCAAACATATTCATGAGTTTGCGTT